GATTTCACAATATCGAGTTACGAGCGTGTGCAAAGTCGTTACATCGGGGTCGAGTGCCATTCGAGGGCCCTTTATTCCGTGCGAGCACTGCCAGGAGCAGCCACCTTTCGAGACGTTCTTCCCTCTTCTGTCTGCGACCTCCTTGTGACACGGTTCTTCGAAAAACCGAGGACCCTTCAACTGAACCGGTTCACGATAACACAGCCCGTTTTGTTTCTTCCCGATCCGTGTCGCGTGGAGAACCCGAGAACAGTTCGCGAGCAACGGCAGCCTCAACGCGATACTTATTAACCCCTCGTCCGGTAGCTCAACCCTGTTCCACCGATACATTTTCCTGATTGCCCGGGGAAAAATTCTTCCATCTTTTGTTCGCGACGCGTTTATTACGTAATATAGAGTACGTAGGTATTTACAGACACTTTGTAACGCGGACAGTTCTATTCAAGACCGCAGCAGGAATTATAGCGAACAGTAATTCAACGTTTATTTGTGGGTCTAGCCTTTAACTACCTAGCCAGCGCGCGACCGGATTCAACCGTCGTGCCGAGCGTGCTCGCTTCCGGTGGATGCTGCGTCTCCGGAAACCGGAGCTTGCAATCGCTCTTGATCGACCCGGAAAAAATCATGCCCGCTAACACGGTCTACGAGAAAGCGATTTTCGGTGTAATAACTCGATTCGCGTGTTTCTTTCCGGCTATGGCGTAACGATCGTTGCTCCAGCGGCTCGGTTACTCGTTCGAGCGAGAACGATTCGATAAGACGTACGTATCCGCGCCTCGTCCCGGGATAAGTGCTCGCACGAACGTCATCTCGACCGTATGAATATGCAGTTTTATATTCAGCCGTCGCGACGCGGTCGCAACTTCTGCCTCTGTGGAGCCATCAGCGTCGCGACGACGGCGTTAACCGACGCCGCTATCTTCGGTTCGTATAATCTTCCCGGTGGCAGCGTTTGGTGCCACCTTGATTTTTCCCATGAATTACGACCGACGCTGTTCCCTTTATTTAGCCGCTGCTCGACTTTCAAAGTGTCGGATTTGCTCGGGCCAGCGACCAGACTTTGTCTTTTAACTAGCCCCTCGGCTTTGTACGTTCGAGTTCCACGCGAGGACTCCCAGTTATTCTTGAGGGAAAACTTTTTTTCGCGTTCAAACAAAGACCGTTTCCGTCTTTCCCTCGAAGCGTGGAAAGCGAATTAACGAAACACGGAAATGTTAATCGAAGACGCAGCGACCAGATGACTGACCAATAACGATCTAATTTCACTCGACGTTGGTGAAATTGCGCGTTTCTCAAACGACGTCATACCGTTTCAAACTTATCGGTATGCTGGATCAACGTTGTACAATGATGCTTCAACGTCAGTGAGACTGTGCGTCCGATCAGTGGTTCACTGATATCACTTATTGGCCATGGTAATGTCTGATCCGCGACGACCTAATTCCACCGCTCTCTGGTAACTACGTTTGATATTGTTTGACCAATGATGGTGTATTACTACTCAGCATCTATTGCAACGTCCAACTAATGACGGTGTTTTAAGTAGCTTGTTAACGAATTACCTCCTGTCTGACCAGTCGCGTGTTCATACTACTTGTTTGCAAGGCGACGTTGTTCCCGATCAAAATATCGTCAGAATTCATCGATATCGTGTACCGAAAACGATGTAATGTTTTCAACCAGACCACTGTATCGATCTTTTGTCCATCGGGCAAACGGTTCGACGGTCATTAGTCGAATTCGCGAAACATTGACGTTGCCTTGGACGAACCGGTCAGAGAGTAACGAATGGCCGTGTTGGCCCCGGAGTGCATTAGCTGCCACAAAAATATGCAATTTTACGGGCGGTACGTGGGTTGTGCAGTTCCGTGATACACAGCCTCGTATCATTACGGGTTGCGGCCGCGTTTGGCTTGCACTCGTGACGCAAAGTAGACACCCATGCGAAAGCACAGACGTCAGTTTCCTCCCTCCTTCGAGATATAATTCATCGACGCTGGATTCTCGTACAATATTTATCAACGTTCCTTGAATAATCCTCGACTCCGGGTAAACACTTGACATCGATTTTCTCTCGCCGCGTGATGAAACGGTTGCACGGCGATTCTAGTTCGTTCGTCGGGAACCCCGCGTAGGAAAAACCGAAGCCTCAAAGGCACGAAACGACGGGTGTTGCAAAGAATTTGCCCAAAATGGGCGCGGAATTTGCAGCGAACGCCAATGAAAGAGTTCGCCTCTCCATTTTCTAGTCCGCGCCAGGGATCGTTTATTCCGACGTCGATGCCCCGAAATGCTCCACTCGCTATTTTTCCATTCGTACGACCGAGCGTTTAAATTTATCCTCTGCCTAGATATTAGCTGCTGAAAAATAAATCAATTGACAATTCGAAAGCTGTTTGGCAAAAGGTTGGAAATCCCTAAATAAATCGAACTCTAACGGAACCTAAAAGAAAGCAGGAATCTGGACGGTGAATTTGGAGTATTAATAAAAAAAGATGGGATAAATTTTTCTCTGTTGTCGCATCGGTTGCTCATCTGAGAGAAACTTGTCCGAATTAGAGCCAGCATCACCGAAGGACGTATTGCTCGACAGGCCGTAATGAAATTGTTCCGTTTGCCGCTCTAATTGCGCCGGCATTTTTCGCGTAATGCGAAAGCACGTCGCGACGAGAGGACCGATATTAAATTTTTACTTTGCTGCGCGAGATAACCCCTCCAGCTTGCCGCGGCTGGTTAAATATTTATCGTCGTGGACTGCTTGATTTTGCGCGGCCGAGCCTCGTAGAAATTAATGTAAGGCCAATTAAAAATTGTAATGTGTACAGTTTAAATAACATCTGAGTGGAATCAGGGTCAACGATGTTGCATAAAAAACCTTTAAGCCGAACCGTTTCAAATTACCTCGAAAATAGATCGTGTCGCTTATCGATTAGTTACTCCCGGGGCTGGCTTAATAATTGTTAACGGATTAATAAAAGAGGGAATATCTCCGTCGATACGAGGAACGAGACTCGTCGGAGCGATTCTCGAGACGAACGCTCGGGGAGCATCGTCGCGTCGATTAATTTCCGACACGCGAAAAACAAATCTGGACGCAGTCCGCCTGGTCGAAGGCGCGGGCGGAGGGGTGAATTTTTCCACGGACGCGGACGAAACGACAACAATGTCGACACGAGTCGGTTGGCCTCGCGCGACGTTGAATCCTGATGGACTAATTCCCGGAATGGAGGCGCGCGATTGCGCGAGCAAAGCCGCGTAATAGCGCGAGCGACGCGTTTGCGAAATCGAGCGTGCCTTTCCACTCGGTGCGCCGCTCGATTTACCGCCGGTTCGTGTCTTCATTTCCATCCGCCAGGACCCGGAGAACTGGCTGGCGCAATAAAGGAAACGCCGCCATCGATACTCGAGGACTCGAGGAAACTGTCTAGCGTTCTTTGTGTACCTTGACGTGGAATAGTTTCCCGTCCACCCACGACGCCGGTATAGCGAACGTAACATGAACTTTAATGTCCGTTCGTTCGAAAGAAAGCGAAACGAGTTCGATGTTTGCGTGCAAATTGAAAGGAAGGTCCACGTCTGGCCATAAATGGGTGCGTACTACTTGCACTTATTATTCATGGCGGGCATTAGAGGCGCGGTAATTGGTAATCGAATGGAACGATAAGTGGGAATAGTGTTTATGCGCAAATTGAAATCAAGACGATGTCTGACCATATACGGGTGCACGCTACTTGCGCTTATTATTTACCGCAGACATCAGAGATCAGAGACGCGGTAATTGGTAATCGAATGGAACGTACGAGGGAGGAAAAGTGGCGAATAGTCGAGTCGAGAGGTTGTAAGGGACCGTGGAAAAATATCGAGGAAGAAGTCAAATTTTCTCTCGCGGTGCTTCAGCAGTTCTCGTCCCCCGGCCGTCGCGACTGACGGAGGAAGTGAAATGCGGCATGAAGATTCCCAGAAAAACGTCGAGCAACTTTTCCACAGCGGATTACCAGCGTTGCGAAATGGAATAACTTTTTCCCCTCGTTGTTAAGCCGTTATCGTTCGTCTCTTTTATCGTGGAGTATTTTAAATTACGGTCTTCGCATCGGCCGTAAAACTACAGTCTGCCAACAGCGCGCGGAGAGACGGGAATGCACGGGGGGTGAAAGGGAGGGAGTGAGGAAAGGAACGGGATTGCCGCCCTCTAGTTGGGGCTCCTGTAATTTCGATGAAAAAAGGACTGTCGGGAGAAAAAAGTTGCAACAAACTTCCGAGTTTCCATTAAACCGCATCGCCGGGACGAACGCACGATCGCGATATGAAAGAGGAACGAAGAAGCATTGCGATAAATGACAAAGAGCAGAGAAATGACAAGTAGATAGACCGCTGCCTGTCTTGGAATTACCGCGGTAACCGTGGCAGTTGCATTTACTTTTGCCGACGGGTGGAAAATCTACCAAGATCCCCCAGTAATTGCAGAACTCAAAAAGACGCGACACAGTCTATTTAGAAGTCTGGTCTTTTGCTCCATAATTTCACTGACATTTCATAAAAACTTGTAACGAGCTCTGGAAGTACTTCCTCTGTGCCGGTCATGGTAAAAATAAATCCTATGGACGCGAACGGTATGGGACTTTTAATGAAAATTTGTACGGTTGATGAAGATGGTACGAGTCTGGGACTGAGAAAACTTTGAAAGTGTGTTGCATTTACCGATACAATCGAGAGAAATATTTTTCAATTTAGTGCAACGCTGCTCGAGGAAAACTTAGCGTCCGACCATATACGACCTCGTACTACTTAAATTTCATGTACGCGCTCTTGATCGATTGAGAAAATTGAAACTGTTGGGAATCGTTCGACTGTTTAATTCTCAAGTCTATGGGTGTCCTGTTCCCTTAAATTTTCTCCGATTCATCGGCTCCAAAAATCCCGTACAACCGCATAATCGTTCCCTGCAGCCTGGTCTCGGTAAAAACGAGCAATAAGACACAGCGAGCAGATCGGGCACTTACCTTTGTGCGGTATTAGCGGCCAGGGATGTAACGGGGAGCCGGCAACCAGCCAGACACATGCCAGCAACACTCCGAACATTTTCACCCCCATCCACTTCGGACAGACGGAAACTTCCCTGCTTGTCCTCTCGCCTGCTCCTCCTCCTCTTCAACTTGCTCGTTCACGTTGCAGTTCGTTCTTCCCTTCTACCCTTCTTCCTCCCATGAATCCCTTCCTCCCTCTTTGTTTTTAGCTCTCTTCCACTTTTCACCCTCCTACCCCGCCCTGCTCCAAGAGGGTCCCTTTAATGTCTCAGTTTTCCTTTTTCTTCTGCTCCTCTTACTCCCGCGATCATCCGCCTCCCCCTATTTCTCGTCTCTTCAAACTCTCGCGTAACCAACCCCCTCCTAGGGGGAGTAAACACCACCGAGTCCGGGCCGACCACGGACGTAGCAAGTCCCGCGACCGTGCACCGTGTCTCAAACCAGCGTCATAGTCCGTGCAACTCCACCCTGTGCCGTGTGTTGCTCTCGTCCCTTAAAGGCCTCAACCCTCACGCACGATTTGCACGGAGTTTAATCGTCTCAAGGCGTTTGTTATCCTAGGATTCGACTGGCCAACTGTGCACGGGCTCCAAACATCCCTTGATGCGCGAAAACTTCGGTTCCGATATCTTTCTCAGGATTTACTTTCTACCAGAAACGAGCTCGCCGTTAACTCCAAGCCACGTATCGTATCGTCGAACAGAGGTTGCCGTCTCTATGGGCCGTGCATTTCCTGGAATATGTAGCTGGTATCCCGGCCGCGTTTGTGCGGATGCTCTCGGATTGGAAATAAATTCCACTTCGAGGGAGCACAGAGTGGAAAGAATTGGATGCACGGGACAACTTCAGGGAGATACGCCCCCGCAATGGATTCGCGAACCGATCTCCCGAGCATCCCGGACGACTCGTTGGACGCTGTTAGAAATCGCCGTTGCGCCTACCGGAAATTGAGGAATAGCATCGAGCGCACGGGCTGCTCTTGTTCATCTTTTTACGATGGGAAAACTGGACGGCCACCGAACTTTCCAATGTCTATTAATGAACGGGTTCCTTCGTTCTCAAATAGTGTCCTCTGCTAGCAGAGGATGACTCTTCCGAAGACATCGCTACTGATTAGTCCTTAACATCAACTATATCCACTTAACTAGTCCTTAAGTCAGCTAACATTCTAGAGTTTAAATATGCCCGATTCTGTCCTGAACATAATTCTTCCCTAACGAGCACTGACTCTATCGACATTCTAGCCCCTGGCTAAACGTACTCCGGATCGAACCCTACCATTATCACCCGACAGAGACCTGTCCAAACTTCGTTCGTGTCTTGGGTGATCCAACATCTCAAAAACGAGACTCTTGACTGATGCATCCCTCGACCCCCAACGCCGATCTTTCGAGACTAGTCATCTACATAGACTCTCCCAAGGTTGTCCTCGTCGCTGCACTCGTCCGAACAGCAATCAACGCGAATCTTTCGTGTCCTTCGGTTCAAGCGTTACCGCCAACAGCTTCTTCAGACGATATCTCGAGTTCCCGAGACTCGAATCAACGACAGTCCCTGTCTCCAGCGTTTCTTGAACAGTGCACACGTGCAAGAACTTGTTGCCACGGGTCCGGGGCACTTATTAAACTTTTCGTGGCCCCAGGGCCACCGCGGAATTATGCGAGATCGCGCTTCCTTTCGCGCCAGGACGACGGAGATCCTCCCTCGGTTCAGACAAGGGACGAGCGTCAAAGGGAAGCGCCTCTCCCGTATCCTCGCTGAATCGCATCGCGCGACGCCAGGAAACCCGTCCCTCGTCGTCCCTCCGCGCCACCACGCCGCGGATATCCGGCTCTAATGAAATACTTCGCGTGGCTGACTGGTTATTAAAGCGGCGTCCACCGTTCAAAGAAGCCGCTGATAATCAACGCCTGGACCTCCGTCCCGACCAGGAATCTTCGTGGTCGTTTCTTGTGCTGCGTGCCTGAAAAATGACGTGGAAAATGCATCACTCCTACGTCCAAAGTAACTTAAATCTAGCGAAACAAGAGCTTTTTTTCTCTGCAAGCTCCTGTCTGCAACCGGTAAGAGTGTGGCTCTAATGGGCGTAGAAAAACAAGTCGAAAACGTAGAATAATCTGACTATTATTGAGTATTTCTACTTAGGTTTGACTATTATTGAGTATTTCTACTTAGGACTGGCTACTAATTGATATTTCCACTTAGATCTGACTCGAAACTTTTGTTAATTTTCTTTCCCCGAGTTTCTACGAACCCCTTTTTGCGTCGTTGCGTATCTGCACCCGGATGATATTAGCAGAATCGAACGGCTCGCAGTCGCAGAAGTATTAGAGGTATTTAGCGAAGTTGCATTTTAAATGGATGCAAATAAAACCGGCGCCACCTAACGAGCGACAGTCCGCTTTTAAGAATGTTTTGCGGATCGTCGGCGCTCCGGGTTTTTGTTCGGCCCGCGCAATTTTCCAACCGGATTGACCCATATTTTTATTGAAAATTAAACGTTACGACCTGGCGGATTTCTCCACTTAAGCATTCGCGTTTTATCGAATCGCCGTTGGGAATGGAAAGCTAAGAGTTAATTTCTCAATAAATTCATAAAGTTCTGCGTTCGTTCGAAAGATCGTGCAAAGTATTTGGATATTAATTCGAAACAATTGTCCCTTGTTTGTTACACTCTGATCCCGTTCCATTAATTAGTCGCCCGGGTCACGCTAAATATTTCGTCGCTTAAACTTCCTTGTGTTCCTGCATTGTTAGAGAAATCCAATTAAACGAACGATTCATCTTTGTCCGACGGTGCAACGGGTACCATCTCGACCGTATTACTTAACTTATTTTAGAAATATTATTGCGCCCCATCCCCGACAACGCAATTACGTTTGCAGCGTTTTATCGATTCATCGTAATCAGTTACCAACGGGAATAAGTTAATTTATCCTCTGGTCTTACGAAAATCCATTAAATGTCGTTTACTAAACTGTACAAGGTGTGTCACTTGACTGTATTTATTAACTAAGATTTGATGAGACTTCAAAGGATATATTTATGCACCGTTGCTGCGCTTCTCCTATTGATTAATGGAATTTTTTTATTTCCGATCTGTTTTCATTTCTCTCTGTTGTTACAAAAACACGGGTTTTTTATTCTTCGGGAAATATTTAACAAGCAATGTACGTATAAAAATATTCCCTTTTCTTTTTGTATTTTATATTATTTTTGTATATTCTCGCTGCTAAGGTTAGGTCAACGACCGTGCATGGTTGTACCTCGTTTCTATGTAACAACGTATACTTCTGTACGTTATTTGCTCCTTTTGCTCATTGCTCCGTTACGTTCCGCACACGGTTCTGATAAAATAACGACGGCTTATTATTATTATTGTATTTCACTTTTCGAGAAAAATTCAGTATCTAATTGCCTGGATGCGAGCAAACCAGACACGCTACATAATTCATATATTCGCGGAATTCTCTTCGACGTTAATTTCCAGCCACAGGGCAATCGGGAGAACCAGAACCGCGCACAGGAAAAATCTACATAGATGTCGCGCTAGCAGCGATAACAGCATTGTTTTCGGTGCAATGGAACCGTGTTTGTGTCTCCTAAAGATAAGAAAACAGAAGAACGTTGTTGCTGATAACGGGATGCAACGTCTTCCCGGCGCCCGAAACAACAAACAAAGGGTTGGCCCCCCGTCGCTGCAGGAAGAATAACAAAAACGTTGGAACGAGCCACCATTAAAGGCTCGTGTCGATGATAAAATTCTAAACGCGAAATACCGGTTTATTTGGAGCTTTACGAGTATACGTGTTCACCCCTTTCAATAAGAATGGCATCGACGCGAACCGAAACAGTGGTGGGGACTATTTCGTTACTTGAATCCGGGGTAAATATTTTGTCTTGAAAGGCGAAGACGAGACTTGATAGCAGTGATTTAAAATCTAGTGCTGAGTGATATTTAGTCACAGGTTGAGAGTACTAAACGACGTTCCCTTTCGACATACTTCGAGGCACATTAAATCAGAGTGGTCGTTAGCATTGTAAATAATTACAGTGGGTATTAATTGAATATGGCATTGGATTGGCCCTTTCGGAGGCTCTGATTGCGGCATGATTTGTACACCATTGTGCAAGAACCGGGGGCCGGCTTTATTGTATTTAACGACACGACTACAATCGAGAGAGCCTGTACTTACGGTAAGCGAGTTACTGAATTTTAATTGCAAAGCTTCCACGCTTGTTTTCGTTGGCTCCTTTATCGTGTTCTAGCTATTTATCGCCGGCGCCCCGTGGTCCGCCGGGTTTCGTCTGCGTCTTCCTTTAGTCACGCTCCCCTTTGCATACCGATTTACATACCTCTCCTAACGAAACGCAATTAACAAGTTAATTAGCCACTTTCGATACTTTTTGCCCGGCCAACTATTTTTCTCGTCCCTGCTTCGCGTTACATTTAATTATCGTTGAAAGAAAACACTCGAAAACAACGACGACAACGACAACGACGATGAAACGTTGCTAAATTTATTACCTGGGGTCGAAACACCGGAAAAATATGTTTCTCTTTGTACCGCTGATGCAAAAGTAACGACTCGCTTTCTTGTAATTACCGCTTGCGAAACGTTCGCGAGAAAAAGACAAACTGAAAAAAGCTGTTAATCTCTTTTGTTTCAGCAGCATTCTTGGCCGCGCGATCCCTTTTAACAAACGTAGGATCACTGCTTTTCCTCCTTCTACTTTAATCCGAGCCTCCAGCTCGTAAACAACGAGGACCATGTTGACAATAATTTGATTTCGCTTGAAAAATAGCAGTATCTATTCTTTAACTTCGTTGCGTTGCAGTCGAGATCAAGATAATCTCAGAAACTATGATCTAGAAACGACCTTAAAGTAAAAGAAGTTGAATCAACATACAAGAAAGTATCTCAAACTACATCAAACTATGTCAAACTGATTATTTCTCTACACACACGATCCCGTTAAGAACTCCGTGTACATTTTCCACAAAGAATTCGTTACTATTTTGTTGAAGTAACGAAGATATTCAAGGTGCTCGTGAGAAATGGGGGACTTTTCGATTGGTTCTGGGGCT